GAATTCTGGGAGTTGAAGTCCACTCATCTTAAAGTGGCCAAGTTTGGACAACGCTTATGTACAGACATACCTCGTTTTATTGTGCTTCGCTCTATAGTGCTTCGCAGATATTGCAGGTTTTTTTACAAATTGAAGGTTGTGGTAACCCTGCGTTGAGCAAGTCTATCAGACGACGATTAGCATTTTTTTTAGCAAAAAAGTATTTTTTAATTAAGGTATGTACATTTGTTTTTTAGACATAATGCTATTGCACATTCAGTAGACTACAATGTAGTGTAAATGTAACATATATATGCACTGGGAAACCAAAACATTCGTGGGACTCGCTTTATTGCAATATTCACTTTATTGCAGTGATCTGGAACCGAACCCACAATATCTCCAAGGTGTGCCTGTATATAACAGCAGCAGAAGAGAGGGAAAGCAGGACACAGAGTGATCCCTCCCCTATTCTGCAACATATAGGAAACAATTTGGCGGATGGAGATGATGGATCCAACCGCTAGACAGTAGATTTTACCTCTCGCTATTTTCAAAGAAATAGGTTTTTACAGTCCCTTCTTCAGAGCAAATTTATACAAAGAGCTCCTAACTCACTCACACTCTTATACACTGGGTGAAACTCAATTCAAGGAAGTAAAAATGAAAGGTTTCTTCTTTTTGGACCCCAAAATTTTAAATTTTCCTTAAAAAGAAAATCTTCCTCTTACCTCCATTAAAACAAACAATGCTGCAAAGAAAAGGAGTGTTGCCCACTCCACTCTGTTCAGAATCATTTCAAAATCATGAATGTTGGCTAGCACAAGAAGCCATACAGCTCCCAACATAGCAATCCACCCTGCATAAAAAGAGAAGGAAGTTAGCATGAATACCACCTAGTCCATTTTGACCACTTACATGCAATTCACCAGTGCATACTCACTTTTGGTATAGGTAGATTGAAAACATATTTATACTGTGGAGTAGCACCTAATCATAGTTAAGCTTGCAACTATAGGAGTATAGCTTATGTACGTATCTTTAATATCTCAAGCAATTCAACAGATGGATCTTCTCTAATTTCAGCATTTCCATACTCAGCTTATCTTTCATGCCCTATAAAGAATAATATCTAGGATCTTTAAAAACTCCGGTTATAAACTTGTTCTAAACTTGCAATGTAACCCCATATCTTGTTTCTTTCTGGTGTGAATCCAACACTGAAAACTTAAAACAAGACCAGACTAAGAGATTGGGACTTGACTATGTTAAACTGGTGAAATCATTCATAAAACAATAAATGTCTTGACCCAGAAATATTTAATCTGTACCTGAAAATTCAAGCTGAGCAGAAAAAAATATCTGAACCCTTGAAAAAAAAGCTGTGCAATAAAATAGCTGCCTTTAATACAGGACTAACTTCACAGGATGATTGTAAATTAATCATCCTGAGTGGGAAGGGCAATATATATTTCACTGTCTTATTTGTACCATATGAGTTTAGAGAAAATCTAAAATTTAATGCCAAAACGAAGTTTCTGGAACTCTTCAAAGGTGGCAGGGCATCATGTTTCTATATGGATTCCACCATGAGCTGAATAACAACTCCATGCCATGTCTCTCCACAGCTATTGGCAGTATTGTACATTTCTGGGTTCCTCAGTTACAGTTTTAAGTTAGAGAAAGAGGAATTCTACAAGCAGGATATTATGCCCTGGGAATATGTATATACTGAACTTACTCAAAGGACACATGTTATATGTTATAAAAATGGTTCCTGTGCTTTTGATTCTTGTTTGTGTTAAGGCATTATAGATTCTTTATCTGGAAGATGGGGAAATATTAATGGGATATTTCTTCAAATATTATATGAATGAGTACTGAAAGCTACATTTCTCAAGAAAAATATTCAGACAGAGGGCTATGAAAGAATAAAATTCAGATACAAATTTTAAAAAAGGATATAATAAAAGCTGCGGTCTTTCAAGATAACCTTTAAGTCTTCCTCCTTAATCTATTAATTCTTCTTTGAGTTTAATCAAGAGTGATTTTAAAAATCCAACAAAAACTGAAACAGTTATCTATAACATGAAATCAACATTTTAAATGAAAATATTAAATACATGCTCATAGTTATAATCTATTAAAATCAGTCATGATATTTGCCGCAAAGTGAAAATGCACTTGGGATACTCCAAACACAAATAAAAGATAACCTGAAGTTACTAGCAAGGACAACCTGATGCAGAAGCAATCCAGGTCAATGGGAGTGTAAAGTCCCAATACTTGGCATAAAAATTAAGAGATATGCACAGAATCCAAAGAAAAGTCCTAGAACAGTTTTTTTCCCCCCAGATGTACTGGACTTCAACTCCATCATTCTCAATCAGCAATGGTGGATGACACGCTGGCTGGAAGGTTATGGGTGTTGAAGTCCAACTCATTTAAAAAGCAGCAAGTTGTGGAAGATTGTCCTAGAAAGAGGTTCAGTCCATAGACTGTAATGACTGAAATGCTACAAGGATGAGTATTTTGAGAAAACTGCTAGTGGGGATAATCTAGAAACTTGGGGTGATCATCCCCACCTGCAGATAAATCCAACCCTTTCAGTCGGTAACATCTTCTGTACCTACTGACCCAAAGTCTGGCAGTAGTTTCTGAATTGGACAAATAACGTCACCATCTTGAAGGCATTACTTATCATTACCATGACCCTAAGATAGACCCCAACTACACTAAGAGTATCCAATTCTAAGGCACAGCCAGATAAGACAGAGTTACGTATGTGTACATGCATTTCCAAAACATGACAAAGACCAGGTAGATATTCCAGCCTTATCTTTCAAGCGAAGCATCAGTCCATCGTTAAGGAATCTATAAACAATAGGATCAAACACCTCACAAAGACCTTGCCTTAATGTACTCACTAATAAATGAGAGCTACCTATCCAATTTCTCTGTAGTCTAACTCCATTTTCTGGCATTAAACCTGATTAATAAGAAAATGTGAATTTAGCTTCCATGGCCTACAAGACTTCTCTCAAGCCCTCCTCATTTTGTACCTGCATCAAAATCATATTTATGTTCAAAAGGGGTAGGGCTTGCATTATGATGTTCCATCCATTATCTTGCTGAGTTTGAAGCCCTCCTTGTCACAGATGCCACTGTCAACACCAGAACCAATTCTCTAGGATATTAAACAAGGATACACTGCTGATAAAATACTTACTATTGAATACATTTATTTAAACAGCATTATCTGTTAGAGTCCATGTGTTGTTTCAGTAGTACTGCACTTTTAAATGTAAATTTCCTTTCTGGGATGAAGTTTGAAAATGATTTCAGTAATAGATCAAAAATAAAAAGATAGATTATGTAAGCCAACCTCTCCTGTTCAAAATATTTATGGTGGGTTTCAAATAAACTATTCAAAGTTATGGAAGTTAATATACATGGAATCTTCATCAAATATTCTGTACAAATTCTGCCTCTTTGATCCATGTTAAAAGACAACAGGGCTTTTTGCCAAAGCAAAACATTTCTGAGGTTCATTCAATACTTATACACATTATACAAAAAGTGATATACTTTGTTTAATGTTTTACTGGCTGTAACTCTATATATCTATGCTTCTACTTGAGTTGAACAGTCATCTGATCTAGCAGAAGTGGATATGTGGGGTTGGGCTATAAAATAACTGAATTATCAGTGTGAATAATTAACAGGTACAAACCTATTTAGTAAAGGTAGGTGGATCAGTTTTTACATGAGATGTAGAACAAAATACAATAATACTTAACTTTGCTCTCCTGTGATTGCCATTTTTGCTTCTGTGTGCTTACAATAATTAGGACCTTCACTGTAAAATATAATTGCTTCTGCTTGCAGGTACAGTTAAAAGAAGCATTATGGTGTCAACAGGGCTGTAAGATTCATACTGGCACACAACAGACTAGGTGATCCATGGGAACATCGGAAGGAATAAGGGCATTACATGGTTTTCCTCTGAAACCTTTGCACTCTGAAATCTACCTTCTAAAATATTATTTCTCCCCTATTAGGGGGAAAGAACTAGTATTATTTCAGAAAGGAAAAATGGAAAAAGAAGCCCCTCATTCTCCTACCAGGTTTTGGGTGGAATTCACAATCTCAACAGCTTAATTCAAGCAAGATTTTCAAGAATAACAAATTACAGATAACATATAGATTTGCTTCCACAATTAAATAACTAGCCCCTTCCAACTCCCACCCACTTCTTTGAACCTCCTGGCCAATAATCCTTCAGACTCCAAATTTTCTTCTGCATACTCCTCCATAAATAAAGAAAACTCTTATTAATGAAGAAAATGATAGAAAACACGGGTAGTAAGAATTAGCACCTGAAGCAACTAATTGCTTCATATAATATGTCATATTATAATACAGTATGACTTAATCCCAGGTAAGGGTGCATAGAATCTCTGCCACATATCTGTTTTGTTGGGGAATAACCAATTTGTCTGGAAAACTACAGTCCTGATCGAAATGTTGATGAAGATTCTCAGTCATCCAGGTGGAATTAACCAAAAGAAAAGAAGTCCAGTTGCCATGACTCAACCTCCAGATACTCCTGATCAAACCTACATGGAAATAAATGCCAGAGAGAGCCAGTACGGTGTAGTGGTTAAGGTGCTGGACCAGGAGCAGGGTGACCCAAATTCCAATCCTCCTTGGCCATGGAAACCAGCTGGGTGACTTTCTCTCAGCCCTAACCTGGGTGAAATTGAAAAGCAACCCCAAAACAAGCACTGGCATATCACTTCTGCATTATTGCTGAGAAAACTATGTAGGCCTCTCCATGAAGTCACCAGGAGTCAAGATTGACTCAAAAAAAAAAAAAAAAGCCATTGAACTTAGTGGTACTTACTTCATGGTAAAGGAGTAGAAATCTATTATGAAGCAAAGGAAAATGTTGCCCACTTCTGTGGGCAAAAGAGGAACATTTGGAAATTTGGATACATCTTTACTTAACCTGGGCTTGACTTGGCTCATTGTCCGATCTTGCATTCCTTCATTAGCTACTGTTAGCAAGGCATAGTTGCCATGAATCTAAAAGGGTTCACAAGAAATGTAATTAGCCTGTTCTTGAAATTCTTTGGGTGAATGTATTCTTGGATGAATGTGGTTTCAGGATTAATAACTTCCACGTGTTTGTACTCTTAGCCTTGTGATTGCATCTTCTTTCTTTCTCCATTTAATGTTAGTCCTAGACATTAGCCATTGTGTATTATGTAGGAAACACCACTGTCTGGGTGGGGTGGGCAAGGTGGGTCAAGGACATGTGCCTCATGATTTCTTCCTGCAAATACACAATTTATATATTTGTGTTGGACATCATGACATAATCACATAATTTGTGCAATGATGTCATGGCACAGAAGTAGTCTGTCACTGTGTTGGTAATAAAGGCCAGTGTTGAGAGAGATTCAGCAACAACTCTATACCTCTTTCTTGCTAAGGCTTACTCTACTTTGCAAACCAATCTTATTCTGTCTGCAATGAGTAGAAGAAATGGCATATAGGGGCATGGTTGTGCACTTACAGCTCACAGAAAAGATTCATAGCCATAGGTTCAATATATTTTTCAAATATATGCCCCAATTTACCTTACAAATAACTCAAAGTAGGTAACAGGATAAAATATGGACCCTAGCAGTGAAGTCATTTTAATAAAGACAAGCTACTACAGCTCTCACTATTCCTCATTTTGAAATTTCAGAAGTAATTTCTAGTCGAGCACATGAGACACCCAAGAGTAATGTAAACATTTTATCATTGCTAGACAGTGCTTCTGGAAAAGGTCACACATGGCTACTTTGC